TTGTACGTTCACACCTGTGCCTGCTGTGACACCTTCACCAACACTGACGCTGGTTCATAGGAAATGTTGGAAGTGTCTTCACTGATCCAGAATCAACCACAGAAACCAAACAGATCAACATCACATCAACTCAAGCCCCAGATTCATTCAAAAGAAACGACATCTCAGATCATTTATTATCTTTTAAAATGGCTCATCACAAAACACTGAGTTATTCCTAAAAAACTCCATGTTGACTAATTAAATTACACAAAACTCAGCTTTTCTAAAGGCATCACCAGAGACACCAGTCCAAGGTCGATGAATGAATGAATCCAAGGTCACCAGCAGCAACAACAGCCGTCTCTTATTTGTTAATAACTTTTTGAAGGTGTAATGATATTTTCTCCAGCTGCTAAAACCAAAGCCAGCGTGAGGTTTCACCTGGTGACGCAGTGAAACAAAGAGATCAAACGTCTGCCCTCGCTGTTGTTGAAGTCAAACATTACAGAACCTCTGGATACAAAATAAAAAATCATAAAGTTACAGATCAAGGCATTTTCCTCCAGTTCAACCTAACGACCGTTTTGATCAGCAGCGTCAGCGCCCTCTTTTGGACAGTGATAGAATAACGTCAGTGAAGTCTAGTTTCACGAGTGCTTCTCTTCAAATATTTAATTAAAGCAACAGTTTGATTAACATATGGATATATTTATACATGTACATACATACAGCTGTAGGTATATAGATATATGTTTCCCAGCGTGGCATCAATAAAGTTGAATCTAATCTTTTTTACAGTCCGTCTCAGCAGATGTCCATCAACATCACCACTCCTGACCCCGGAGAAGTTCCGCCTTAGCACTCCGCCCACATCCACGGGACAAATTACACCCTGCGCAAATTAATTCAACTCCATTAAAACCCTTCGTGGACATCTGCCGCCGCCGCCGCCGCCGTGATTCTCAGCCCTGCGTGTGTTGGCGTCCCTCCAGATGGAAGCCTTTTAAATTTAGCTCCAATTTGACATTGGTGAAGTTGGCTGACAGTTTGAAAGTGCTCAGTGGATGCTGATTAGCG